TAAGACCTCAGTCGCTATTCACCAATGTAGGATGTGGAGCAAGGCTTTTATGTATTTTGTTGTGCCAATTGAGTCTGGTGTCCCTCAGTACTATGACAAAAGTAATTTCCTTCAGCATTCAAACTAAAATAAACACATACACACACACATACTACATCAAATAGCAGTTCTATGAGAACTGATAACCACAAGTAGCCCCATGTACTATATCCCCATATCTCCCTTTTCTGGAGAGAACTATTTTTGGGGGTGAGGGGTTAATGATAAAGTAAACACCTCCTTCCAGCCATCTTTTTCTTTAGTTCCCAAAATTAAAAACTTTACCTCCTTTCTCTCATTAAAAGCGGGAAAATGAGTAAATCTAAAATTGCTATTATAAAATCATCTCTTTAGAATAACCTTTGGAGGGGAATCAAAAATCTTTGAGGGTAAAATAGCAGGCAAAAAAACTTTTTTTCCAAAATTTCCCCTGGTTTGTTTGAGTAGCCACAAAAAAAAACATAATAGAAATCAAATAGAAATAAAAATTTATATCAATCACCCTTTAACCAATGAAAGTAGTATTGTGCAATAAAATAAATTTGTCCATTAAATCATGTGCCAGATGATCCCAATTCCTTATGAAGAATTCATTATTAAATATATTCTGTCTTTCTCACAACTATGCCTTCATTATGCTTATGAAAAATTTTGTATATGTATATACAGTAAAATGCAAAGTAAAAAGTTCTATTTGTTGGGATGGTAAAAATACGAGGTCAATTTTCAATTTCATGCTTTCTATTTCCATTAATAAAGTACATATAATAAATAATACATATTTTAAATTATCCAGATAACTAAGGTGTTATTAAAAAAAGCAATCACTTTTAGAAGGACAAAACAGTTGATCAGTGTAACCTAAATTCCCGTAAGAATATGTTCTCTAGTGCTCATTGGGGCTAAGGGAATTCTAGTCTTAATCACAGAAGATTAAAAATAGAAAACGAATGGCCAGGCTCATTTTGCTGACACTACAGTGACATACAAAAGAGTCATACTATAATCTACAAAGTAGCAAACAAAAGTCCCCAATTCACACAAGTAAAGTTTTCTAAACGTCCATTTAAAAGTCTAGGGTTAAAAACTCCTTTTGTGTTTAATCCACAGAAAGAGGGAAACTGCCCATCTGAAATGCAATTAGCTCAAAGAAGGGGCAGAAAAGGAAAAGGCAAAAGAAACACTACCCAAACTCAATCCCCTTAAGATAAAACAAAGGAGATTCAGGGGAAAAAATGACACTTAATTTTCTGTATGGACTATTAACTGGGGCCCTAGATCAAAGCTTGATTGTTGGCAGGGATCAGGCAAAGGGTGTATGTGCTGAGGAAGCAGGTAGCGGCAAGAGAGGGAGAACACTGGCAATTCAGCCACACTGAGAACTATTTTTGACTTCAGATGGTCATCAGAACAACCAGGCAAATAGACAATAACCTAATTAAAGCTCTACACAATTTCATTTAAAACCGAAAGAACGAACAGTCACCCTGTGTTTTGCTATTTAGTTTTTCTGAGCATTCTTTTCCTCATTGGAGCCACTCAAGGTTTCAATAGCTAACTATCAAAGTTAACTAAGTAGTTAAGAATGTGTTTTAAATGTGGAGAAGAAAAAAAAAAACCTTAAGTATCTAAGTGTTTCTAGAAAGGGGTCTTTTTTGTTACACTTGTAACAGTCAGCTGACTTATTCAAACAATAAGGCATTATAGTAACCTCAAAAATCTTTATGAATTATCACACAATTTTATAAGCAGGATTTGTAAGGAATTATCTTTGGGGGCAAGTAGCTGGGGACATTGAGTCTTAACACAGGTCTTCGAAATGGCAGAAAAGACTGCTCTTTCATTTGTTGAAAAATGCTTTCCACTCAAATATTGAAACGTCCCTTAAAAAGCACAACCTCTCATAAGCAAGGTACTATTCAATTTTTGATAAAACAAAACTTATTTACAGAAAAACATCCTGTTCTTAATCTTCTATTCACAAAGGTGTAATTTAAATAATTATAATAAATTTTATCTAATAATGTTTGGTTTAAAATAGAATACTGGTTATAAAAATCTACTTTTCAAGACTGAAAAATATGTCGAGTCCTACCCTCAATGAAAACAACATGAAAACGCTTTAAACTTACTTTTAACATCATTGGTCTCATTTTTTTTTAACCTCCCCTTTTTCCAAATCTATACACTCAATTTTAAATAAATGAATGTTAAATACTAAAATCTCTTAAAATAAGTGGAAGTTGATATCCTGTTTAATTATACATTTTACTTAATAAATCGTATTTGTGATATGTAGTAAACAACTGCTTTGCTTTTAATGTTTTCCATGACAACTGCCTTAATAAGATCCCCAGATACCAACTAAACATAACCAGCTTTAGGAAAAACACTGAACCTCAGTTTCTGGAAATTTTCTAGTGCAAACAAGATCAGAACAGTTGTCTTTTTTGTGCTAGTTTCACTTTTCTGTGCATGACTAATAGCCAACCCACTGCCATCGAGTCAGTTCTGACTCAGTGACCCTATAGGACAGAGTAGAACTGACCCATAAGTTTTCCAAGGCTGTTAATCTTTAGGGAAGCAGACTCCCTTAACTTTTTCCCATAGAGTGGCTGGTGGGTTTGAACTGTTGACCTTTTGGTTAGCAGCTGAATGACTTAACCACTGTGCCACCAGAGTTCCTTATTGATAACTATCCTGTATAATTTTTAATGTAAGTAGCAACTGCTGAAATTCAGCTAGCTATACCAAGTCCCAATTATAAAAGTCAAACAATATTCTCTAACTATAATGCAGGTCAAGTAATACCTATATAGAGAGATATATAGGTATATATTATGTAATATGAATTTATCTTACACCTTTTGCTTTCAACCATAACAGTGAATGGGAAACAGGATATTTATTAACTTTCAATCAAGCTAAAAATGACAGCTATTATACTTTAAAAGTCTTACCTCTATAAGTTGAACTATCATGGCTTTTATTTTCACTGAGGATTCGGCATAAATGCAAACTAGAATAAAATAGAAATAATCTGTATTAACTTCTGATCCTAACACTAGATGATTGTTACAGAGCAAATCATATCAATTAAACAATATCTGGAAATGTGTCAGATGTATTTAAATCCATTAGTTTACAATGACACTAAAACAAATCTAAAATTCCTAACTGGTCAGCACTGAAGGATGCTAGTGAACACATTTATTATTTTAAAAACTGGTAAATAATAGAAAAAATCAAGTATTTATTCTGTCTTTTGTATATGAACTATATATATGACTGTGTAACCTATAGTAGATAAGATATTTCTCTGCGTTGAAGTATTTCAGCTAATAATGATAGAATTAGAAAGTCACTAATTTAAGATCTCTAATGGATTAAAGATCAACTAGGCAATGATCATCAGTGGCTGTCTGCATCACAAGAGACAATTAGACATCATATGCCTCTTGATCCTGATGAAAGAATACACTACACATCTATGAAGTTGTCTTTAAAAAAAAAAAAAAACTAAATCTGATCAAGCCATCTAGATCCAACTATCAATTTACAGAAAATACAAGACAGATGAACATATTAAGTGACACCATGGGAATACAACCAGCAAAATTCAGACTGTGGCAATTTCTTCAGGACAAATTACCCAGTTTCATCAACAAATAAATTATAAGAAAAAATAAAAGGCAGTGGGGAATCATGAGGCTAAAAGAGGCTTAAGAGATCTATCAATCACCATGTATGAATCCTTATTTGAATCCTGTTTCAAACAACTATTTAAGAAATTAAAGTGTCTTTATCTTTGAAAGACAGACTAAAATATTCACAGATGAAATGACAATGTCTGGGATTTGCTTCAAAATAATACAAAAGAATGGAAAAATAGGTGGGATTATAGATGAAACAAGATTACCCAGGAGTAGATAATTGCTGAAGCTGGCTAATGATTTCAATGGGAGGCTATTCTACTATTCTGTCTACTTTTTAATGTGTTTGAAATTTTCTCCCCTAAAATCAAACTTTAAAAAATTGAACACTGAAAGTACACTTTTATATTTTGACTACAGATATGTATCAGTTAAAGTATATTCAGAAGAAATCCTACTGCGTATACACGTCTGTGGTGCCATAAGTTTTTTTATTTTTTTAAGGGAAAGCAGCTCTCTCTTAGTTTATTATTTCCCCCTGATGGTTTCTTTAACACCCCAAACCCAGACTCCATCAGCACTGGACCACGGAGAGGATACACGCACCTGAGGCAAAGGACATGGCTCTGGATGCAGGCTCTCATGCTTTGTCGAGCAGGCAGGCAGCAGTGGCTGCTCTAGCAGCTCAAGCAGGGCAGTAACAGCAGGGCAAGGCATGCTCCATTCCCTCCCCACTCACTTCCTCTCACTCCCCTCCAGTGGCCTCCCCCACTGCCAGTTCCTCTGGCCCGCTCCAGCAGCTCCACCTCCCACCACAAGGACAACTGGAACGGGCTGCAGTAACATTTTAATATGGTGTGCACATTAACATCCAAATCACATGACGTCCTATTTCACAGAACTTATCATGGCTGTTAACTGACACAATCCTGTATTTCTTCACTAGATTAATTTAAATATGGCAAGAAGATACAAAGGATACAGTGAGAAGATATATGCTTAATTGGAACTGCCAAAAAAAGAGAACAGGACAAAAGCAGTATTTGAAGAGATAATATCCAAAGATCTAGTTTTCCAGAACTGAAGTGAAATCCCTATTTGGGAACATTGTAGTTAAGCTACAGAAAATGAAAAATACAGCCTTTCCAAAAAAGACAAGATTAGCTTCATAAAATGCAAGATTAGCTTCATAAAGTCACATGACTTCTCAACAAGAACACTGACTTCCAGAAAGAGCTGAAAGATACATTCAAGGTACATGCTAAAGATACATGCTAATCTAAAATTCTACACCCAAATAAAATAGTTCCAAGAAAAGGCAAAATAAAAAATGAATCTCAAATAAATATTGAGAGTTCACCACCAGCAGACAAACAAATAAATGCTTAGGAAGCATCTTTAATTCAATAAAGTAACAGCTCTGGGCATGTGGTTCATAAACCCTTAGTCCTTGAGATTCTTTCAGGGGATCTGCAAGGTCAAAACTATATTTATACACAGTAATACTGACTTCATTTCTCTTTTTCACTGTAATGACATTTGCACTAAAAGTGCAAAAGCAGCAGAAGGTTAAAACGCTGGCATCATACCATATAGAGCAAGGCAATAGCACCAAACTATCTCATCCTACTCTTCATGACCATGAACTCAAAAAAAAAAAAAAAGTCTCACTTATGATATCACCAAATTGTATCTTCATGGCTATGCACTCTCAGTAAACAAAACCCAGTCCCAGTTAAGAATTTCCTTGATGAAGCAGTAAAAATTACTAATTTTATTAAACCTCAACTCTTGACAACATTTTCTAAGAACATTTTTTAATATTCTATGTGATAAAATGGAAAGTGTGCATAAAAAATTTGTACCACACACCAAAATGCTTTGGTCATCTCCAGGAAAAGCATTTGTGCAACTGTTGGAACTGTGAACTGAACCACTTTTCATGGAACACCTTTTTTACTTGAAAGAACAACTGACAAACTATGGCTATTCAAACTTGGGTCTTTGACATTTTTTCAAAATTGAACCAAATAAGTCTGTCACTTCAAGGAAGGCAAATGAGAGTATTCGTTGCCAGTGATAAAATGTAAACATTCAAGCAAAAATTAAAATTTTGGAAAACTTGTATCTGCCACGATAGGCCATTTTCCTAATTAACTCAGTGATGGTATTAAAAATGTGGTTCTTCATATTCTACAATGAAGTGTGTCAATACAGTTGGCCCTCCATACATGTGGGTTCCACATCCTTGAATTCAACCAACTGCAAACCAAAAATATTCAAAAAGAAAAAAATAAAAGCAGTAA